GAAGAAGAAGAAGAAGAAGAGGAGGAGGAGGAGGAGGAGGAGGAGGAGGAGGAGGGAAACCATTGTTAGGGCTTTCCAAAATTAAAAAAATAAAAAGCCAAAAAACATCGGAATAAAACTTTCCTGAAATTTTTGGCTAATGTAATTCATTGTTTTCCTCTTTATTTTCAAACAGTTATACTTCCTGTCAAAATCTATATTAAAAACCACGTTTGCATCCTTTTCAAAAAAAAAAAAGAAAGACTCATGATGATGGAACAGTTCATCTTCTCAAGCTCTAGAAGATAAACAATCTCGTTAATAATGAGCTTTCTTTTACTACTCACATTTCTAAACCTTGTGTTCGGGTCCATAGTGAGTAAGCGTTCGTTTGACGCAAAATTTGCCTATACATCAGTTTTAAGCACCACATGGTCTACATTTTGGCACAATGAATATCAGGCATTTGATTTGAATGACCCATCATGTAACCCCAATTTCAGTTATGCTGCGGTTTGGGATGTAGCCGTGGCTGGGAAGGCTATTGTGGATTCTGGTGACGTGCAAAAGACTACACAAGTTATTAATTCCTTATACAAGTTTCAAAATTCCGAAGGGTGGTTCACTAGTCTGCCGGGGGGTTCAGACATTTACACAGACGATAATTCTCAAGTATTGTGGGTATTCTTGGATGCTTACAAGTTGACCCAGAAGGAAGCATATCTCAACACTGCTGTTAATTTGATGCACCTAATTCAAACACAATGGTCACAAATTGGAGGCATAACATGGCAAAAGGATGCCACTTATGTAGCCTCAATATCAACAACTGAAGCTGCTCTTAGTGCAGTTAAAGTTTACGAATACAACAATGATAAAACTTTGTTAACATTTGCAAATAGCTGTCTTACTTGGTTAGACGAGCATTTGACAGATCCACTGGATGGATTCTATTATGACGGTATTAATAAGGATACCTGGCAAGTTAATAAAGGGAAATTGACATATACAGTAGGTACAGCCATTTCAACCTACTCCTATCTTTACAAATTCACAGGTGATGCAACATATTTGAAAAAAGCGACCAAAATGGCATCTGCAACTTTATCATCGTCAACTTTCTTGAATAATAATGGAGCTTGGAACAATGATCTTTGCTATGTACATCTTTTGTTTTGCGGATTTGCCGATTTGATCACAATTGGAGGGAAAACTTCATATACTAGTGCACTAGTTGATCAAGCCAATTTTATCTACTTGTTTGATAAACTTGACTCTGGCGATTATTCACTCTATACCAAAGCACAAAGCTTGTATGAACAGTATGTGAAAATTACCGGTGACTCAAAAAGTGTCAATTACAACTATAATCCCGACAACTTCTGTAACGGTGACGTGAATAAACCCAGAAAGTCTGTCTTGGATGATGGATCTGCTGCTCAGATTTTCTACTCTGTTGTACGAGTGAGCTGAGTTTTAATTTTCACTTTTTTCTATTTCTTTTTCCTTGTAGGAAACACTTGAAAAAGTTCTATTGAAGTTTTTTTAATCTTTGTTTAATGAATGATTGTTATATCTTTTTATCCTTCTCCTTTTCTTTGTTGGAAAGACTGTTTACTTGAAAACTTTGTTTTCGTACTTTTTATTGCTACCTGAGATCGCCAACTAATCTCGAGAGATTTTGAGATGTTGATCTACTTCGTGAAAAGCTTCTTGATCTAGAACCTGCTGTGCTTCTTGAATAAGATCTCGAGGAATCTGAAGAACCCCTCGAAGAATCATCACTGTTTCTTCGATGGCGTTTTCTTCCTCTACTTTCTGGCTCGGGTAAATTTGCCAAAACTTCTCTCATCTCCTCAGTTAGTACACCCAAACCAATGGCGGTAAAAAAATTGATTGAAAAACGAATATCGTCTGCATCCTCCCAAGTGACACCTTTTACAAAAAATACTCCGTTGATGTGATCCTTTATGAACTCATCGTAAATCAACCTTTTTTTAACTTCACCTATTCCCATTTCCTCAACCATCTCTTGGAAAACAAATTTAAGCAAAATTCTTCTTGCCGGAGTAGTGTCTCTTTCGGTGATTTTTATGTCACTCCATGCTTGGTCAAGAGCAATCACATCCGAGGCAAACAAATGACCAAAAAATTTTCCAACATTTCTTAATGAATTAGTTTCAAAGTTGTCTATTATATTGTAATAATCTTTAAATAGATCAACAAAGTTATCGTGCCAGTATCTATTTCGAGAACATAGCTTTTCTCCAATTATTCCAAAAAATTTCGTATAAGTCTTGTCTTGAGAGCAACACTTTATTATCATATCTGCTAGTGTTTTGTTATCTTGTTCTTGATCTTTTTTACTCCTGTGACTCAACTTTAAAAGCTTGTGTACTGCCTCGTCTGCAGACATGGACGACATCACTGTCAAATACACCCGCTTCTGAAACTCTATCAAGCTAGATTGGGTCATATTAGACACATTTACTTCAGCAGGTGCAGGTTGTTTTTTTTGTCCAACTTGTGCTTCCTCCTTCTCGCCCTCCTCTTGACTCTCTTCTTCTTCAACTATTATTTCCCTTCGTACTCTATCATACTCCATCTCTGATTTGGCAAAATCAGGATCAAACCTGTAAACATTTAGGTAGTCTCTTGATCGGACTTTTGCTCCAAAATCCAAATCGTGTGTCTCTATGTCCTCCTCCTCAACAAGAGCTAACTTTGGGTCAATCTGCAATTCTGCCAGTTTAAACCCACTTTGACCCAACCGCAACGCATATCTGATTGAACTTTTAGACCTGTTCGATAAGCTTGAAAACTCTTGTAGTATATCTGCGAGCCTTGCCAATATCATGTTTGTAGCCGCCTTTGAATTTTTTGATAAAAATGATCCACAAACACTCAATATGTCAACGGTCAATTCTATGTCACCTTTGGTAGGCTGGTTTAATAAGAGCTGGATCACTTGTAGTATTAAAATCTCGCTCAAAACTCTTTGCATTGTCAAGTGACATATAAACAATAGCGAGGATTTGCAAAGAAGCCAATTGTTGGTGATATAGGCAGATCTGAATTGGAGCAACAATCTTGAACACAACAATCTACCCAATTTGGGAAATTTCGAATTGAGAACTGCAGCTAGTGAAGCCAATAAGGCTGCTTCTTTGGGCTGCTTCATTTGGAGCTTCATAATAACTCGAACAACAAGGCCCCTCCCTCTTTCTATATTGAGTTTAAATAATTGTACAATGGTATGTTGAATATTTGCATGATTGAGATGCAGCATTAGAGCACTAATATCGCGCTTTAATGTTTGCCAATTGTTTCTCTGGGCGTCATCGTCACCAGCATCACCAACATCACCAGCATCACCAGCATCACCAGCAATATCAGCAATATCACCACCGTCACCAGCAATATCGGCACCCTCACCAGAAATATCACCACTGTCACCACTATTCTTAGGTATCACAACCAACAGAGCTTGGCTGCTCATCTCTCCCTTCTTTTTTACAAGCTATAGCTCTATCTTCATTAAAAAAAGTGTTTCTTTTTGAAATAACGTTTTTTCAAAGCTCATCGCTCTTTTTCTTTTCCACAACTTTCCCACCTTAGTAGCTTTGCTCGATAGTGGCATAGACTTTAGATGAAACCAAGGTTAAACAGGGTAGGGATACCCAGTAGTGGTCGACCGAGGGTGATGAACAAACTACTGCATTTTCGAAAGGTAGACACTGGTGTAGTTGGGAGCAAGAATAACCTACGGGAAAAGTTGAAAGACCTTGTTGAAAACAATGAACAATTGAGATTATATGCACCAGAACCCAATCACAACGATGACCGAGGGCAAAACCGGGACCGAAGCGGGCACCGGGACCAGGACCGAAGCTGGCACCGAAGCTGGCACCAAAGCGGGCACCAAAGCGGGCACCAACAACTGAGGATAAAGACGGAGAATATTCGAGGACCTCTTAAATTTTTAAAAGAAAAATATGCTTCGACACCTTTCCTTGACCATAAGGGGAAACCTTTCACCGTGGATACTTTGCGAGCGGGAGATTTGAAGTTTTGTAGCCCCAAAGCGAGGATTATTTTTGATAACGTTATGAGAATCAAAGATGCTACAAAAATCCAGGTAAATCGGCTTTTATCGTTACGTTTGTTGGGAACAAGCAAAGAACAGTTGGAAGACCCATATTTCATTACCCTGAATGCTTATGATTTGTTAAAGTGCGACCAAGACGATAAAAGAGCCACATACTTGTGTCGTATCAGCAAAAGAGAATGTGCAAAAGTCGGCATGAATGTGATTATGGCATGGCATTTTGATAGGAAAGATCAAAAAGCTGGTATCAAATCGTTTCACGAACGACGCAGATTTGGGATACAGTGCGATGAGTACACATACTCAATGCTTTTCAATGGAGTTTCTAAAACAACTTCCTGGGGGCACGCAAGCCAAGACCTTTGCGACAAAATGTTGGAAATATTTAGAAATGGAAGGGATGAGTTTCTGAACAAGAGCAGTCAGTTTACCACAACCGTGTTTAACGCATGTCTAAGTATTTTGGTGAAGAATTTTCAAGATAGACAAGCAAGCGCATGGGCTTTCTTTGATGAACTAACCGGGAATGAAGAAACCGAAATAAAGCGCATAAATCCCGACGCACAAACATTCACAATACTATTGCAGGGAATCAAGAGATATACTGAGCATGAAAGAGAAAAGACTTTGGAAGATACGAGCTTGTCATCACACGAGCGTATTTTAAGGCTATTGGAATTAGAGGCTGGTCATGTAAAAACCGCTGAGATTATTATGGACAAGGTGCGAGCCTTAGCAATGCCTCCGTTGAAAACCTCGGATGAGGTGTTGAATTTAAAGAATATAAAAAAGTGGAAACATTCCAGAGTACATATAGACTTTCCGGTCATTACAACATATATCGCAAGCCTATGTAGTCGTGATTCGGGTACGGGTTTAGGGCTCCATAAAGGATCTCATTATGCTTACAACGAAAGAGCCTTGGATATTTTACGTGCAGTTTCCCCCGAAGCTGATAAGTTGTTGAAATACATTGAAAGTGATATTCAAGACAATCGCATCACAGTTTCAGAAAAGTCAAAATCACAAACAGATAAAAGAATCCAGAATGCAATGAATCGTGTTGAAGGTGTTAACTTGAAATTTTTCAAAAATATGGAAGATCTAAGACCATCTCACGTCCTTGGAAATTTTGATCCGCTTGCATTTAATCCGGAGGTCTACATGGTCCGTCATGACAGATTTAAGGATCAGCCTGAACCTTTGATTAATCTCAAAAGCGAGCTTTTGGTAAAGGAAGACAAAAATCTAAAGAAGAAAAGCAAACAACCAAACAAAGGATCACTATCATTTTCTATAAATCGATTTATGTTGAATCAAGTTTTTGACAGTCTTGTCAACATTGGACGTTTTAGAGAATTTGTTCAAGCATTTTACTATTCTATGGCTGAATGGGGCGGTCTCAATATCGATACTACAGACTTGAAGAAACAAGATATTTTTGGCAATTTTTTTGATAAAGTTCCCAAACTGCGCCTGAATCATAAGAACAGAGTTGCTTCCATTGTTGATGAGGCCATGTTCAACACTCTCATATATAAGGTTGGGGAGCACGGCAGAACCAATGGACGTACAAGAACAAACATTTTAGTGCAAATATTACGCTTTTTAGCTGACCCAAATTTTGGGAAAGATAGTATCCCATTGACTTTTGAGCATATAAACAATATTTGTTCTGTTTTTGTCAAGGACTTACATTATTATAATGATTATCATAAGAAAAAGTTGTACACCTCGAAACATTTCATTCTGAGTAAACAGTTGACGGAGTTTTTGGAAAACTTGATTGAATTTCAACAGACCTATAGGGATTACTTAGGCCGAAAGGAAAAGTCTAGAGTTCCCAACTCATTCTGCTCTTTCATGGACAAAGTCATTGGCATTGTAAGCTCTTCACATTGGACAGATGTTGGTACTAGTGAGAAAAAGGCGTACTTTGATAAGTTAATCCTCAAAGCAGGTATTTTATACTATAAACCAAAAGTTTCATTAAGCAAGGATAACTTTGACCAGCATACTCTTGCTATTGAAAAATCACTTTTAAAATTTCAAAAGACTTTGAACGCGGATAGCAAACTTACTCCCGAGAATAAAAAGTTACAAATTGCTTTGAAGAGACTTGATGTCAAGTATTACAAAGATTTTGATGCAAAACAACATACTAAGGTACTTGAAGAAATTTATCAAACGATTGATGCAGAAAATAGTGGAATCGAAGGCTCCACTATCGAGCCGGCCACTATCGAGCTGGCCACTATCGAGCTGGCCACTATCGAGCAGAGCGAGATAGTGGAACACACTGCCTAGCTGACCACTGCTTAGCTGACCACTGCTTAGCTGACCACTGCTTAGCTGACCACTGCCTAGCTGACCACTGCTTAGCTGACCACTGCCTAGCTGACCACTGCTTAGCTGGCCACTGCTTAGCTGGCCACTGCTTAGCTGGCCACTGACTAGCTGGCCACTGCTTAGCTGGCCACTGACTAGCTGGCCACTATCTCGCTCCGCTCGATAGTGTAGCACGACAGAACACGTCGAGCCGAAAAAAAAAAAGCTTTAACAAAAAAGATAATGTTTAATGAGACATCTTGTATATATACAAATTTAATAAAACAAGTTAGCTATAGAGAACATTGATAGAAGAAGGAGTATTTCAATGGTGAATCCGGTTGTAGTATTAGTTAATCCAATTGAGAAAGATTACTCTGCTTTTCTAAAACAGGTTATTCAAAAAATTGGCTGTTGCAATAGAATTGATATCTTGATTCAACAAAAGATTACCAATGTAACGCATTTAAATGAGATCCTATACAAGTACTATACGTTACTACGGATGGAGCTGGAAGAGTTTGGTCAACTAGATGGTACTTTTGAAATCAATGTCATTTTCAATGTAGCAAAGAGGAAACTAAGACAATTGATTCGGAATTGGAATAAGGCATTCATCACCAAGGCAGAACAAGAATTACTTCAAATGCCTGAGATATCTAGTTTTGTTCTTGAAGTAGAGTTGCCATCTGCAAAATACCCAATCTTGGACAAGAAATCTATTGGAGAATTCACTACTACAGCTGTTGGAGGTACGTTTGACCATTTGCATGATGGTCACAAGATTCTACTTTCGATGGCCTTATTCTTGACTAGGTCTAGAATGATAATTGGAATAACAGGCAAGGAGTTGCTTCAAAACAAGAAATTTGCAGAAGCTTTAGAACCGTTTTCAAAAAGACAAAATTCAGTGACAAGGTTTCTAAGTTTGATAATGAGTGATGATCAGTATTTCGAAATATATCAAATCAGTGATGTTTGTGGGCCAACGGGCTATTTACGCGATATTGATGGATTGGTAATAAGTCACGAAACAATATCCGGGGGAGAGTTTGTCAATAAGTATAGAAGGGAACATGGGTTCAACGAATTAGATGTAACTGCAATAAAAGTAATTGGCGATAAGGACTCAACCGCAGAAAATTCATGGAAGGGTAAGATTAGTTCTACAGATATAAGGCAGCGGGAACTAGAAAAAATACGCAAATATGAACAATATTCTTAATGATAAGGAAAGATTTGAATTATAGAAAGAGACAGAGAGAGACAGAGAAAGGGAGACAGGAAGAAAGGAAGAAACCAAATCTTGAAATAATAATCGTTATATGTCAAAAAAAAAAAAAAAAAAAAAAAAGGAATAAAATTTTTTTATGTAAAACTTATTTACTTAATAGAAATACCTTTATCGAAAGGATTTTGACGCTTTGGATCTCTATCAGGATGGTCAAGGGCCAAAATTGTACGCTTGTTATCAAGCTTATCGAACAAAACGAGACTCTTATCTTCATCATCGAGATACATTCCCTTGTCGCTCGAATCCGCCAACGCAAGCCGAATTTTATCAAAAGCTTGTTTTCCCAAACCTAGTTTCAACCTTAACCTCTCCTTTGTCTGTTCAAAAGGTTCTTTAGGGAAAACTATGAAAATAAATGGAATTCCATGGTGGTTGCTACTATTTTTGTGAAAGTGGAATGAAATAATGAGGTTCAAGTTCTTAGATGCTTGTTTTGCTAAAATGAATTCCTCCCTTGCAGCTGAGTCTTCGATTTCTTCTTCCTTAACAGGTTCCCCATCATCACCACTAAATCTTTTTATAATATCGTGTTCGCAAAGCACTTCAACTTCGGCTGGGAAAATACCACAGTATATATCGAGATTCTCTGCAAGTTGACTAACAGGTAAATCAAATTTAAGAATCTCGCGGAACGTGTGGTTGCTTCCAGACCAACACAATATGAATTTCAAAAATTTCTTAGGAACATTAACCTTGTGCAACAACTTGTTCAAAAGATCACGTACATCTCCCTTTTTGGGCACTAATAATTCAAACATTTGATACTGTAATAAATTATTAAGCCAGTAAACTTTAAATGATTTCAAATTTTCATACTCTTTCAACTTCAAGTTCAAAATCTCATATTCAAAATCGGTTATTGTGTCCACACATATTGTTTTGGGGAAGATCTGGGACAAAACATAGGTTGTTTTCAAGGTATAACGGTGACCTTGATTACCAATAAGGAAAATCTTCAAGTATTCGGGATCGCATTTCACAACATTTGCAATGGCTTCAGCCAATTCGAAATACGTGTCGGTAATGGAGATCCATAAATCAAAACTTTTACTCAATTTTTTGGCTTGCTCAATTTCCCTTATTGTAGTTTCATCATTTTCCTCGCCATTAATGGTTTCGATTCCATTTACTTTTTTACTATTAGCATCATCATCATCCTTATCATTCTCCACGTAATCCGAGTCTTCATCTTCAATATTTGCATTATAGGGCTTGACTCTAATGTGTGTTCGAGTGGCTAAGAATTTGTAATAATCCTTTACTGTTTTAAATTTTTTATCATCTCCTGCTAAATCAGCGGCATTCGAAACCTGTACTGTTATAATGTCTCCAATGTTCAACTCCTGCTTATCGAATGTAAACTCCGGATTGAGCGCTTCAAGTCTCGTTGGTGACAACTCTTCGAAAAGCTCAAGTTTAACGTCCTTTGAGAATCCCAACAACTCCTTCACAGGGTCAATAATACTCTCAACGGTATCGTTTTTGCCAACTGTAATATGAGACAATCCTCTTACTTCCTGAGACACGGGATCAAAGTATTTCACTATTACTGTGATATATCCTGAATAAGGCAAAATGCTTTTGAACTCCATATCCTCCGTCACATTTGTTCCAACCGAGTTGATCTTATAAAAAACTTGGTCAAAGCTGAAATGTGCAGGATCCACGCTTTCTTTCGATTGCACCAACTTGTTAATGTTTTTTATATCTTTGTTGAGTTCTTCTACGTAAAACACTGGCTCGTCGTATTTTTTATTAAAGTTTTTTGAATTTACATTGCCAACGGTTGTTCCCTTCATTTTGTCTTCAACGGGAACATCCAATCTATTTGTATGATTGTTCCTGTGGCTGGTGACAACAAGTCTAAACAAGTTGCTATTTTCGTAGCCCAACAACTCGGCTACTTTGTCTGTTAATTCGGTGTACATGCTGTCCTTCCTAACTTTAAGAACCTTTGGATCACAATCGCTTCCGGCTAATGCAGATTCGTAATATTTCTCAACCGTTGGATCCAAAGCAAGATCGAATCCTATGTGACTATTCATTGTGTGAGTGGTGATTAGTTTAATGTTTGTATAATATAATGCCTCCTGTCTTTCCTTTTCTAGCCTCTCCTTTTCTTCTGTTTCATATTTTATTTGATTAGAAATGTGGTCTGGAATAGCTGCTTCTATTGCCGACTCATCAGCAGGCAAAATCTTTTCCAACTCTGTTTCACGATAGTAAACCAACATATATGCCGAAGTAACTCTCCTAATCAAATGTTCTTGCTGTTCCAGCCTCGTCATACCAGCCAACTCTTCCTTTGTCAAATCGGCCGCACCAAAATTCTCTTGAAATACTTGCAGTGGAGTAACTTTCCACACCTTATCGTCATCAAACCTCAACCATGTTTCGTCTGAGGCGTTTGGTTTAATCATGGCATAGTAGTGGCCATTAGAAATGGTACCTTGATGCACCAAGACACCATGTAGCTTATAATTCCAGTTTTGATTCTTCACGTCCTCAGGTAAATCCTCATCCAAAAATGGCTTTAAATCAATCTTGTCTGGAAACTCGTAAAAATCGTCAATCTTTACCAAGTCATCAACCATGAAATCATACTCAAACCTTTTCAATTGCAAGTGCAAAACTGGTGGAAAAGATTCAAAGACAACACCCTTCTTGGCGTCTTGATAACCAAACTCCTCCCCTGCTTGATATTTGTTCTCTCCGTCGAGCATTTCAATCTCAATATAGTTTTTAAATGACTCTTCAAGATTTTTGAAACCTTTCACGTTCAATTGGATATCCCAAAAATCTTCTACTCTTGATGATTCATAAGGAACATTTACGCACTTGATGTATGACTTCATCTTTCCCACGAAAATATCATTAAGCCCCTTTTCAATAGCGCTTCCCTTCATTGCAGTTTCCAACTTATCCATCAAAATACGGTTCAATTCTTGAACGTCGTGTTGAGTGAATGCATCGGATGAATCCCAACCAAAAGACTTGGTCAATTCCATTGTACCTACTGGGTCTTTAGAATTTGACAATAGGTAGAAAGTTCGCTGCAAAGCCAAAGCTACACCTGCGTTTTTACCCAGTATTGTGGGAATTTCATAAACCAATTTTCTGAAAAGCTTTGTTGTAAAATAGCTCTGCAATAGCGAGTTTAAGTAGCATGTTGCACCTTGATTGTTCAATCCAACATACCCAGAATTCAACTTTGAATCGTAGTTGTTAAACGAGTGCCATAAAACTCCAGTTGAAGAATCATCAATCACTCTCACATACCCCGTGATGTTCAATTGATTGTTTTCCAAAATAGCAACTTGTGCAGAGTGGTTTTTAAAGTTTCGCTTGGATGCTAATGTCCTTTTATCTATCATTGAGCTGAATCCCCAATCAGTATCAGTTTTACTGAATCTATGTGAGCTTTGATTTGGTAAATGCGCTTCAGGATGCTGTGGATTCCAAATATCAATAGCAAATTGTGCACAAACATACCAGTTTTCATTTTTGGGCTTGCCAGTAGTTTCGTCTATTGGAGGATGTGGCTCCATGTATGCTGAAATGCTAGTATTTGTATTGTTCCCCTTTGGAAAAAGCAAAATATTCCACTCGAAACCTCCACACTTGACTCTAGGAGACCTTGCTTTTTCTTCTTTTGTGAGTTGTGTCCAGTCCTTTATTTCCCATACAAAGTGAGTTTCATCTTTTACTGGATAATCGGGAACTGGTTTCATTAATTTCGTGGCCAATGCATCATATTCATCTGCTCGTGGGTATCCTGATTGCAGCGACAGTTGCAGACGGGGCGTATGGTTCGATTGTGATTGTGATTGTGATTGTGTTTGCGCTTGCAAGTGCTGCCGGTTGTTGTTGTCGTCTTCGTCATCATCCGCCTCATCCACCTCATCATCTTCATCATCATCATCTTCTTCATCATCATCCTCTTCCTCTTCTTCTTCTTCGATATTGTAATACTGTGCATCGTTTGCCTCTATCAATTCCAACTCATTTTGGTTGAATTCTTCTTGCGCGCCATACTCAGCATCTTCAGTCATGTCTATCACCTCAGGACTTGAAATACGATCAAACCCGTTTTCCGAATTAGCTACCGTCGATTCTTTGTCAGGGGGCTTGCTAGTTATTTCCTCCTTATCAATTAAATCGTCGATATCGCTATCTACATTAATGACATTTTTATCATCATAGTGTCTGTGGTGGCCACTAGTGTCGTGGTGGTGGTGGCCACTAGTATCGTGGTGGCCGCTAGTGTCGTGGTGCTGGTGGCCACTAGTATCGTGGTGGCCGCTAGTGTCGTGGTGCTGGTGGCCACTAGTATCGTGGTGGCCGCTAGTGTCGTGGTGCTGGTGGCCACTAGTATCGTGGTGGCCGCTAGTGTCGTGGTGCTGGTGGCCACTAGTGTCGTGGTGCTGGTGCTGACCCCCTGTGTCCTCCTCCACTATCTCGCTCTGCTCGATAGAGTCTGTCATAAATGCTGAAAAGATCTTATATAGTGATTTATTTTTTTGTTCTAGTTTGCTCTTTGATATGGCATAAAAAAAGGTTCCCCCCTTGTCAACCCTCAATCCTCTGTTTTTATATATATCAGACCCTTAAAGCTCTAGTGTCTTGTATAAATTCCAAGCTCTAATGTAAACCTTCTTTTTTTTTGTTGGTTTTCTTTTTACTTTTGCAATTGCCGAAATATCAATTCGGTTGATGTTTATACCTTGTAGTTTTGCTTTTCAAGCTAAGAAGCAAGTGGACTGTTTGCTTTGATTCTTTTTTTCTTTTTACAAAAAAAGGGAATCAAGATAATGATTAATGTAGCGTAAGGGATTACGATTCGCAACTCACAACACTATCGAGCGAAGCGAGATAGTGTTGTGAAAAGCTACCGACACTATCGACACTACCGACACTATCGACACTACCGACACTATCGACACTATCGACACTATCGAGCGAAGCGAGATAGTGTTGTGAAAAGCTACCGACACTAGGAACACTATCAAGCGAAGCGAGATAGTATTGTAACAAGCTACAAAGTGGAGGGGTGGCATATCTACTTCATCGGCTCTATGAGCACACTAACGAGCGAAGCGAGATAGTGTTGTAACAAGCTACAAAGTGTTGCTTCACTATCTCGCTCCGCTCGATAGTGTTGTAACAAGCTACAAAGTGTTGCTTCACTATCTCGCTCCGCTCGATAGTGTTGCTCGATAGTGTTGCTCGATAGTGGAGCACGCTGACTACACCTGAAACCACCCTTTTCATTTCTCATTTCTCTCTTTGTATCCACCTTCTCTACAACTCGGCTAACAAACTTTAGTTTCCAATCATGAAGAAGAAAAAAGGTATTAACCTAAATTATTTGTAGAATAATTAATAGTAAATAGTCAGTGTGCTCTCGAGCAACACTATTGAGCGAACCGGATAGTGTTCTAACAAGCTACAGAGTGTTGTAGTAAGCTACCAAGTGTTACAACACTATCGAGCAAAGCGAGATAGTGTTAACAAGCTAGAGTGTTGCTCGATAGTGTTAAAAAGCTAGAGTGTTGCTCGATAGTGTTAAAAAGCTAGAGTGTTGCTCGATAGTGTTAAAAAGTATAAAGGTTAATCTCCATTTGCCTTACATTGGAGAACATTATCAGCCATGTGCCTATTAGGGATATTAGTTTGAAAATTTGCACCAAATTAGAAGAAAAAGTAATATTTAGAAATAGACGTTTTCCCCTCTCTTTTTCATGTTAAAACACTATCGAGCAGAGCGAAATAGTGGAGCAACACTCTGTAGCTTGTTAAAACACTATTTGCTTCGTTTGATAGTGTTGCTCGATAGTGGAGCAACACTCTATAGCTTGTTAAAACACTATCCGCTTCGCTTTGCTTTACATTAGAGAACATCATCATGGAATAGTATAAGTTTGAAAATTTGCACCTAATTAAAAGAAAAATAAATCTTGGAAATAGATGAATTTCGACACTATCGAGCAGAGCAACACTATCTCGCTTCGCTCGATAGTGTTGTAACACTTAGTAGCTTGATACAACACTCTGTAGCTTGTTAGAACACTTTGTAGCTTGCTACAACACTATCGAGCGAAGCGAGATAGTGTTGTAACACTTAGTAGCTTGATACAACACTCTGTAGCTTGTTAGAACACTTTGTAGCTTGCTACAACACTATCGAGCGAAGCGAGATAGTGTTGTAACACTTAGTAGCTTGATACAACACTCTGTAGCTTGTTAGAACACTTTGTAGCTTGCTACAACACTATCGAGCGAAGCGAGATAGTGTTGTAACACTTAGTAGCTTGATACAACACTCTGTAGCTTGTTAGAACACTTTGTAGCTTGCTACAACACTATCGAGCGAAGCGAGATAGTGTTGTAACACTTAGTAGCTTGATACAACACTCTGTAGCTTGTTAGAACACTTTGTAGCTTGCTACAACACTATCGAGCGAAGCGAGATAGTGTTGCTCGATAGTGTTGCTCGATAGTGTTGCTCGATAGTGTTGCTCGATAGTGGAGCAACACTTTGTAGCTTGTTAAAACACTATCCGCTTCGCTCGCTAGTGTTCAATAGTGTTATACACCAGTAAACAAGATAACATACAGAACAATTAAATAATAAAAAGGTTAAATGCACAAAAAAAAGGCAATACTTGAGATCTAGATTTGATATCCATGAAAAAAGATTAACCAAAGACAAAAGGTAAAATCCTACACTATCGACACTATCGAGCAACACTATCTCGCTTCGCTCGATAGTGTTGTAGCAAGCTACAGAGTGTTGTAACAAGCTACAGTGTTGTAGCAAGCTACTAAGTGTTACAACACTATCTCGCTTCGCTCGATAGTACTACACCTGAAACTACCCTTTCATCTCTCTTTGGATGAATGCTCAATTTAACAAAAGTTTTGTTTTACTTACAAGGAAAGGGGGAAGAACAAAGAATATGTAGCATGGTGTAAATAAAAGAACAAAGAATATGTAGCATAGTAAAGAGAGGAAAGGTGCCTAGACGAGAATTGAATTTTTTTTGTACTCTCACCTTCCCCCTGTCGTTGTAGGGAAAAAAACGTCACGTGTCTTATTATTGGCGTGTTTGTACAATATTCGATACATATTAAAGGGTCTATTGTAAAGGCCTACACTATCGACACTATCGACACTATCGACACTATCGAGCGAAGCGAGATAGCGTTGCTAGTGTCATTAATCAGTGTGCTCCACTATCTCGCTTTGCTCGATAGTGTCGATAGTGTTGCTAGTGTCATTAATCAGTGTGCTCCACTATCTCGCTTTGCTCGATAGTGTCGATAGTGTTGCTAGTGTCGATAGTTTATTATCATTCCACACTCGCACTAAATCGTCCAGTACTCGACTCTGTATAGTAAATAAAAATCCACTATTGGTAAACAAAACTAAAAGCCACTTTTAAATAAATCGGCATTGAAAAAGAGTAAAGTCTCGGCTATAAAAGGATATTAGCAAACCAAAAAGGTAATAGCAAACCAATAAGGTAATAGCAAACCAATAAGGTAATAGCAAACCAATAAGGATAATAGTAAACCAATATAGGGATAATATTGACAAAAGGATGGGTCAGAAAGTTATTTTAGATGTTCTAATCTACATACCTGTTTTCCATAGGCTACTGAATCTATTTCCATAGGCTACTAAATCTGCTTCTATAGGCTACTGAATCTGCTTCTATAGACTGCTACGTATCTGTTTCCATAGGCTACTGAATCTATTTCTATAGACTACTACGTATCTGTTTCCATAGGCTACTACGTACCCTATGTCAACTACCCTATGTCAACTACCCTATGTCAACTACCCTATACCAATACGTATCTGTTTCCATAGGCTACTAAATCCGTTTCCTATCCCAAATATTTATAATAATAAATTAAACATCGTGTAAATCCTCTATTCATATTCTTTCCTATGTTAGAAATTTTCTTAATCGTAAACTCCTATAGTATAAAATATTTCCCAATTGGGATAAAGAATAAATAGCAGAAAATGCACGACTCACCACACAAAAAAAACAATGCCTACGCTACCGTCTGTTGTTTTTTAGTCACGGTGAAAAGGAATGCATGATTAATTAACACCACCCACCCACCAAACTGCGTGCGTGCGTGCGTGTGTGCGTGCATAAAAATTTTCGTATCATGATACCACCTACTACCTCTTTTTTTTTTTCTTCTTTAATCGATCTGCACGACCACCACTAATTATCACTTTGTGAAAATTACACCCAATCAAAGAGATTCAATGCACTAATATGTCTTGCCTTGTAAGGAAGACGTCGAGCAACCTTTTTTTGGCTAATAATTTTTCCCTCTTTGTATCACCAAAAACAAAAAGGAAAACAAATGTAAAACATCTTCAACAAAATTTCATTCATAATAATTTTTTTTTTTTTTTTTTTTGTTCTCTTTCTCTCTCTCTCTCTCTCTCCTTTTCTTTTTCTCACTTATATATCTTTCCATCAACATATCAACCTTTTCCTTTCATTTTATCACTTCTTAACCACACCCCTTGGTATAATACTTGTCTACTTTTGCCAGTCGTTCCTTAAGCAATATCTTTCATTCAAAAAGTAGGAAAACTCGCTATTATCCTTTTACACTCATTTTTTTTTTAAAGAAAACAAGAAAAAGAAGTAGAGAAATTCTAACCCTTGATACTATCACTAAAGCTTCTTCATATACACTCATTTTATACATATCATAACCCTTAGATAAAATGTTATTCAAGACTATTGTTTCGTCAGCTTTGTTGGCTCAAGCTTTAGCTGCTCCAGCGGTTCACAATCACCATCAACATAACCAAGAAAAAAGAGCCGTTTACGTTGTTACTCAAACTAGTGTCGTTGTTGTAACTTTGGGTGCTGGTGATGCTACTACTACTCTTTCACAAGTTTCATTATCACCACATACCGATGTTTCAGTTGCTTCTCCAGTAACCGATGCTCCTCAAGTTGTTCCTTCTTCAATTGTTTCTGAATCAGAAGCTCCATCTCCAGTTTCTTCAGAAACTCCACAATATACCGATACTCCAAGCACTGGCTCAGGAGGTGCTAAAGGTATCACTTATTCACCATACTCCGATGCTGGTGGTTGTAAGACATCTGCTCAAATTGCTGTTGAAATTGCACTTTTGGCTGGCTTTGATGTCATTAGATTATACGGTGTTGATTGTGATCAAGTTGCTCAAGTCTTGAAAGCAAAACACTCTGGCCAAAAGATCTTTGCTGGTATTTTTGATGTTGGTCAAATCTCCCAAGGTATTCAAACTATTGCAGATGCCGTTGCAGCTCATGGTTCTTGGGATGATATCCACACTATCTCCATTGGTAACGAATTAGTTAACTCTGGTCAGTGCTCTCCAGCTCAAATCAAGGGCTACGTTGACGAAGCAAGAGGTGCTTTAGCCTCAACCGGCTACAAAGGTCCAGTTGTTTCAGTCGATACTTTTATTGCCGTCATCAACAACCCATCATTATGTCAATACTCTGACTACATTGCAGTCAATGCTCATGCTTTCTTTGACGGTCACTATACCGCTGATCAGGCCGGTGACTGGGTCTTGTCTCAAATCCAAAGAGTCTGGACTGCTTGTGGTGGTTCAAAGAATGTCTTGATCACTGAAACAGGTTGGCCATCAAGAGGTGAGTCTAATGGTGCCGCCGTTCCATCTTTAAAAAACCAACAGAGTGCCATTTCCTCAATCAAATCTACTTGTGGTAACTCAGCCATCTTGTTTACTGCTTTCAACGATTTGTGGAAAGCTGATGGTCCTTTCAATGCTGAAAAATACTGGGGATTCTTATCGTCAGCTTAAAAAAGCCGTTAAACAACTACATTACATTACATTATAAAAGTTATTTTGATAATTTCCCTTAAGAAAGAGGGAAAGAGACAAAAAGATAGAGAGAAGAGAAAAATTTGGGCATGCGTTGAGAATTGAGAGCTGCTAAACTACGTTGTTATTCATTTTGTGTGATTTGTTTTTGTTGTTGTTCTCTTCATATTTATTGTTTTGTTATGTGTTGATATACCTTTTTTATTTTGTTTCAAAATTATACCCTCACCACCAGTGTCATCTTGTGTGAGTTTTTTTTTTTTTTATTCTTTTTGCCAAAGAAACAAGAAACAAATATGAAGAGAATCTTTTGAACTTATTGTGATTGATCACTATGGAGTTCAAGAGTGGTGTGCCTTTTGTTTGATATTATTTTTTTATACATTAAATTAACTATTTTTTATTACCATTTTTTTCATCTTTTATACTGTAGTATGAACTTTGCCTTTCTCAATAAGAAGGATAAAGAAGTAAGAATTTTATTTTGTTCAAAAACAATCAAATAAAGTTCAAAAATTAGATTCAAGAAATAGAAAACTCACCAAGCTTCACGGCTTAAAGAAAAACCACCTCGCTTCTCCACAACATTTTCCTCCTCCTCCTCCTCAATGTCCAGATGTTCTTCTTCACAATCAGCAATGAATTCTTTTCTCCTTTCAATCTCAATACCACTCTTGTATTTGGCCAATTTCTTCTCGTTCTCTGTCCCTAATAATGCATCAAATTGACGATTCCAAATCCCATGAAGGCCTTTGAATGGCAAATAACTATAGAAACTTTTCAAAGTAGTGCTACTACCACCAGCCTCACTCTCGAGCTCCTTTAACCATATCTGAAGAAACGTCGCTATATAATTGATCATTACGGACGTTTCTCCTGAACAAGTATATATGATATGGCTAATAAAATTGTCGCGGAATCCCAATTTCCCCAAATTTTGATAAATAGTCTCTATATCACCATCCATGAGATTTGCCGTTAAAACTAATCTTGGTTCTTCATGATTGGCAAATTTAATGAATTTTGTTAGATGAATAGCTTCATCAAAAGTAACATCCTCATCAAGATACTTCAATTCAACCGCACTCTGTGTTTGTGTTGGTTGTGTCTCATTTTGAGTTGACTCAACCTCTCTTCTTCTGCTACGTTGAGGTTCCTCCTCTTCTGTTTCTTGTACTTCCTGTTCCTGAGTCTGACTAGTTTCGGTTCTAGGTATGGAAAAGAATTCTTGAGACTGCGATGGAGATCCAGTTTGATGCATATCACCATCATTACGATCCACTTCCAACTGTGAACTTTCATTAAAGTTCTCAGTAGTTTCAAGAGCATCAACATAAGTTTCTCCCTCCTCCTCTGCTTCTGCTTCTTCATTTTCGTCTTCCTCATTTTCCTCTACATCCACGTTATTACCAACATCATCACCACCATCTCCTGAATCCACATTTCTCCCCTTGAACTTTCTTAGTGATGTAATGGGACTTAACTTGGGAATCTCAATCTTGTCCCTAAAAGAATTCACATGCTCATCAACACCTGCTACTTTTTGACGTTTATTATTCAAAGCATACGCAATATCCGAGTTCATCAACTCTCCAATATCGTGCTCCAAGGAAGCACTCTCCATAACATTCATAATATTGTCATCAACATCTATCTCTTCTTTGTCTCCCTCTTCTTCTTCTACTTCTTCTTCTACTTCCTCTTCTTCTTCCTCCTCCTTCTCCAAATCAGTACGCGTACGTCTCTGTGAAGTATGATCAATATTAGAGCTTTTCAACTTACTGATCTCTTGATTCAATGAAAACTCGTTTTTATCTGCGACATCATTGCCGTTTTCGGCTGCAGCAGCCAGTGTAGCTAAAGCTTCAGCTGCCTTAGCAGCTTGGGCAAACTTTGCATCATTGTCATCATCATCATCTTCCTCAGTCACCTCTCCCCGTGAGTTCAGTTGTTGCATTACGTCCTTTCCATCACCAGCACTCGGTTCATCGTGTTTATCATGTTCGACCTTTATACTCTGCAATTCAGCAACATGGGGTGGGATTTTGGTCAACAATTTCGGAGTCTGACCCGTTCTCATACACCTCTCATATTCTTTCATATACGCAACAATTGTCCCCTCGGTAATATATTTCCTACACCTATCCCTCCATGAATGCAATGTATGCCTATGATTCTTTCGATACATGTCATTGAAAAACAGGTAGGACAAATTCACATTCTTTATAGGATCAAATTCAAGACCCTTAGACTCAGCAACTTTTTGATTATGTTCCATAACAGTCTTGCATAAAAAGTAATCATCCTCAGCCGTGAATTTATTCTTCAAGGTCTGTGGCAACTGATCCAAACCAACTTTAATCAACAGTCCCGTACTTGGATCCTTGATTAGTTTCCCCTGATTATTTGTCTTGTACACAAACTCCAATTTTGGCTCCAAATGTCGTCTATAACGTGACCTAATGGAATTCCCAGTATGTTTACTCAAGATGTCATGCTCAGCCAATTGTCTGAAAAACTCATGCGAGTTTCTTAATCTAGGATTTCTTCGAATTTGATCTAGAATATATGCATCTTTCTCCTCGGTAAATCTATTGGCCAGCGATTTCGATGAAGAGCTCAAACTACTTCTTTTCTTCACATCTGTAACTGACTTGATCACTAGTGCCTGTTGCTGCATCAACTGTGCCTGTCGTTGTTCTATCACCTGCATGTGTTGAATCTGATGTGGCAAAACATGTTGCTGTTGTTGCTGTTGCTGTTGTTGTTGTTGTTGCTGTTGCTGTTGCTGCTGCTGTTGTTGCTGCTGGAAATGTCTCATTTGATGACCATGTTGTTCCAATCCAAGCACATCAATCATAGGTTCCAGATCTTCCGGTATAGTTGCAATGATATAATTATGACTTGGCAACAATTGTCCTGACGCAATACAATCGTCGATGTATTGCATTCTTACATAGCCCTCTCTATTCTTGACTGTTGAGCTTAAATAAACTATGTCTTCAATACCTCCCTCGGCAATAAAACCTCCGTTTTCAATTATCGCCGTAACGTACTTTTGTCTATTTGGTTCACCCAAATGAATGAAAAAGGGCATTGGTTTACCCTCATTGGTGACAAAGATTTCGCTACGTGGTTTAGCATATTGGTGGTGGAACATTGGTTGTTGTTGTTGGAGATGTTGGAGATGTTGTTGATGCTGTTGTTGTTGGCGATGCTGGTGCTGCAGCTGCAGCTGTCGTTGGAGGTGAATCTGGCCTTGTGTTTGTCCATGCTGTCTTTGCTGCTGAGCAGCCTCAGCTTGTGCACGACGATGGTATTGTAATTGTAGATGTTGTTGTCCTGCTGCAAAAACAGCTGCTTGAGCAGTAGCATCCTCACCACCGTCGAACCCTGTATCATACCCGTAAGAATAATTCATATTTCTTTTTCCCCCCTCTCTTTATTCTGGCTATTTACTTGTCAATAGCTTTTTAGTCTATGCCACTGATTTAGCTTTGCCTTGGTAAATTAACTTTTAATTGATTGCAAAAATTTCGTGTTTTGTGTTTTTGCTATCACTTTTGTTGATGCTTGGATGTGCAACCCTTGAAAAGCTCAACTTTGGTGTACGGATTCAAGTTGGGAATGTCGAAGGATTATTATTCATTGTTTATAGTTGAGGTGATGATGAAAAAAATAACACGTTAGGTAGCGTTTGGAGAAACTGGTATAAATTGGGAAAAATTTGGAGAAAAATGGAAAAAGGTGGAATGAAGGGAAAAAATTGATTTGTTTCCGAAATAGGAAGGAGCCGAAGACTAGAGGAGCCGAAGACTAGAGGAGCCGAAGGCGACTCTAGTCGAGAGATATTAAATAGAAGAGACAAAGACTGGAGGAGCCGAAGACTACAGGAGCCGAAGGCGACTCTAGTCGAGAGATATTAAATAGAAGAGACAAAGACTGGAGGAGCCGAAGACTACAGGAGCCGAAGGCGACTCTAGTCGAGAGATATGAAATAGAAGAGACAAAGACTGGAGGAGCCGAAGAATACAGGAGCCGAAGGCGACTCTAGTCGAGGGATATGAAATAGAACAGAGTAATAAAGTATAATAGCAGAGCTTAGAGTAACAGAGCTTAGAGTAACAGAGCTTAGAGTAACAGAGCTTAGAGTAACAGAGCTTTGAGTAACAGAGCTTAGAGTAACAGAGCTTAGAGTAACAGAGCTTAGAGTAACAGAGCTTTGAGTAACAGAGCTTAGAGTAACAGAGCTTAGAGTAACAGAGCTTAGAGTAACAGAGCTTTGAGTAACAGAGCTTAGAGTAACAGAGCTTAGAGTAACAGAGCTTAGAGTAACAGAGCTTAGAGTAACAGAGCTTAGAGTAACAGAGCT